ACAGATGTTTTTGTATATGACAGGTCTTTTTTCTCTTGCTGCTCTCAGGATTCTTTCTTTGTTTTTGAGTTTTGATCATTTGTTTATAATGTGTGTCTGCCCAGGTCTTGTTGGGTTCATTCTAGTCAGAGTTAATTGAACTTCTTGACTTTGTATATTCATTTCCTTCTCAAAATATGGAAAGTTTTGGCTATTTCTTCACATGACCACTCTGAACCTCTCTGTTCTTGTAGGACTGCCATAATGTGTATATTGTTATGCGTGATGGTACCTCAGAAGTCTATTAGGTTCTCTTTGCTTGTCTTCATTATTTTCTCATTTCACTCCTCAGACTTAATAATTTTCAATAATTCAAGTTTGCTTATTCTTTCTTTAGCCTTATTTACTCTGCTTTTAAATTACTCTAGTAAAATTTTCAATTTATTGTGTTTCAGTTCTTGACTTTTGATCTGGTTTTTTTATAGTTTGTTTCTTTGTTGATATTCACATTTTGTTCATATGCCTTTTTCCCAATTTTACTTAGTTTTCTGTGTCTATTCCCTTTTCATTTATTGAACATGTTTAAGACAGTTGTTTAAAAAAATAATTTTTTAAGTAATTCGGAGGGCAGTGTTTCTTTAGGGCTAGTTATATTATTCCTTTTATTTGGTGATGTTTCCCTATCTTTTTGTAGGACTTGTAATCTTTTGTTGTGATCTGGGCATTATGAACTAGCTTAATGCAGAGAAAGACCTGCACTAATCAGCCCATTGTAAGGGTCAGGGACTGCTCAGTCCTTTTCTGGAATTATGTTATTTCCTGGTCTTGTGTATGTGCTTTTACTCCAGTATATGTGGCTGCTTATAAATTTTTACTTTCCCCAAGAGACTGATCACTGCTTCTTCTCAGAAGCCTTCAGTTTCTGTTGTATTTTTCTGCCCATAATCTCTGCCCACCTCCCCCCAGCCCCGACCATCCTGGCACTGCAGAACATATGCTGCTCTATCCCACTGCAGACCTCCCTTGAATTTTCAGTAGCATCCAAGCTGATACACAAACTATGCCATTGTTCCTTTCAGTAATCCCAGTCATACAAGACAGAATTCAGTCCCTCATGCAGATGCCAGATAAGCCAGAACAATGATGCAAGTTTTTGAACAAAAGGGAACTCTTTTGTTCCCTCCAAAAAAGAAAATACTGAGGGAGCCACACTGCACTGTGCTGGGGAGAAGATGGGCATAGATGAGTAAATTTCCACAAATCTCTTCACTCTTTTTTGTTCAATTTTATATTGGTTAGGTGTTCTTTGGGGATCTGCAGCTTCTTTACTGGTTTCTAGACTTTTCCCAGTCTAATATCTCAAAGGTATTTTGATATTTTGGACTGTACCATTGTCATAAAGTTGGTTTTTCCATGGGGTAGTGAGAGTCTAGGGATTCCTAGTCTACAATCTTGCTGATATCACTGCTCAAGTTTCTTTTATTCCAGTAGTTGTCTTAAGAGGTCCAGTGATTTGATTTTGAATCATACAGGAGCCAGCAAAAGAGAAACAATTATTTTCAAATAACAAACAAGAGACCCTCAAAATTTTAATATGCCAAAATTGTTCCATTTTTTTTTAAACATTAATTATATCACCTTTTAATATTTTAGTAAGTGACTTTTTTGTTTTGTTTTAACTGATGTGATCAAATTCCATCCTTGGCAGCAGCCTCCTGCTAACTTTGTTTCCAAGACCAATCTCAGCCTATACAAGGAGTGGATCTTTACTCTGCACCATGGTCTCCTACATTGCTGAAGTCTTCATAAAGATTCATTGTATCTCTGTGTGTGCACAGGATAAACTCATCCATCTCCACTTGATGCCCATTTTCAGGTTTTTTTCTTCCAGGTTCCCCTAAGAACATTCATTCACATATTTTCTGAAATCTATATGTAGGATGTTTTTGACTATATGCCTGGAAATAGAACTTATAGAATACTCAATTTGCAAAATTTCATAGCAGAAATTTTGAGATGTAAAATTTCTTTCTTCCCATGTCATCGTACTGTCCCCCTTTTAAAGATTTCTTCCATTCTTGCCCCATACCCATCCTTTAATTCCCATATTTAAGCATGGGTCTGTATTATGCTGCTTGGTGAATCAGTTGCTCTTTCCTTCCAAGGTCAAAATTTTAAGTGCCCTGTATATACCATAAATATAATATACCATTATATTTTCACAAATTTGCATGCACAGTGTCTACTCCCACATGGCTATTATTCCCTGTCATACACTCTTGCCCTTACTCCTTCTTCCTCGCCTTTTCTCACATGGTATCTTGATCTGGATGGACTGTACTGCTATGTCCTAGCATATTAATTTTGTACTCCTAAACCCCCGATTTTCACAAGATTTCCTCACCCCCCTTACACACATTACTCTCACTTTGTAAGACAGGATCTTACTCTCACAGTGGAAAACTCTTTTAGATGCTGCCTACATGAACATGTGCAGGGGTGATGATTCAGCTACCGTTACCCATGAGGGATGGCTGAGTAACATTATTAGCAACATGGCTTAGCTCTTGTATCTCCAAGTGTTTCTGTATTCCTTGCATTTTCTATTACTGATTGTTTTCTATACTGCCTGATGGACAGTTGTGCTTAAAATCATATTGTCTGAGCCTGGAGGCCCAGAATCAAATGTTTTTCTTACTTTCTATGCCAGTTGGGATTAGATACATGAACACAGGGAACTTGTCTTTATTTGAAAATAATGGTAATTTACCTCGTGGTTTTAAAAACAAGTTAGTGCAGTTAGATGGCTTAGTATATTGAACATTTTACACTAACAACTCAAAAGTTCCTTTGCTTAATAAGATTTCTCAACCTTCCATGATTTTTACAATGAGATGGCCATAAGAAATACCATAGATTGAGAGGCCTAGTCCACAGAAATTGATTTCTCACAAATCTGAAGGCTGGGAAGTTCAAGATCAAGGTGCCAGCCAAATCAATTTCTGGTGCGGATCCTCTTCCTGGGTTAGCCCTACCATCTTCTGGCTTGTCCCAACATGGTAGAAAGAAAGAGAGGAGGGCCGGCCTGGTGGCACACTGGATAGTGCGCCGCTTGGGAGGCGCGGCGGCACTCCCGCCCGAGGGTTCGGATCCCACATACAGACCGGTTCCTGCTCACTGGCTGAGCGAGGCGCGGGAGCAACACTGAGGGTTGCGATCCGTTGCCGGACACGGAAAAAGACAAAAAGACAAAAAAAAAAAAAAAGAAAGAGAGGAAACAACTCTTTCGTGTCTCTTCTTATAAGGGCAATGATTCTATTTATGCGTATTCCACCCTCTAGTCCTAATTATCTCAGAAAGTCCCCGCCTGCAATAACATCCCTTTGGAGAATAGGACCTCAACATAGGAATTTCGGTCAACACAAATATTCAGACCATAGAGCCTGCATTATATTTTGTATGTTTTTATCTATCAATTTGTTCCAAATAATGTTTTCTCTTATCTCAGCTAATAAATTTCCAAGTACAAACTCTATTATGTATATTTTATGGCCAATGAACCATAGATAATTAAAGTGCAATTTAGGGAATTGCTCTATTGATTGGCTTTTTCATAACTGCAAGCCTGAAATCATAATTGTGATTTCTGACTTTGTTACCTTGTCTTATTCTTTATAATGCTATGTATTTATTTACCCAACCTCATACAACAAAAGTCGGTGATCCTGATATATATTCTAGTTCTCATATCATGTACTGGTTTTGAAATAGAAGTTGCAGCTTTGTTCTTAAGACAGAATTGTTTAGAAATCCACAGACTATAACTTTGTATAAATGTGGCTACTAATTATTTTCTTGCTGGTTTTATTCTGTGTTACCATAGTGTTTAATTTTTATTATAATGTACAGATGATGATTTTTCATCATATATTATTTAACATAATTTACATGCATCACTTGTTAATGTCACAAAATTTCTGATCTATGTTGGTGTCTGTTCATAACAGTATTCAGAAACATGTTTTTTTTTTTTTTTTTTTTTTTTTTTTTTTTTTTTTTTTCCGTGTCCCGCAACGGATCGCAACCCTCAGTGTTGCCCCCGTACCAGACCGGGGACCGGCAACGGGATCACAGCCCTCGGGGTTGCTCCCGCGCCTCGCTCAGCCAGTGAGCGGGAACCGGTCTGTATGTGGGATCCGAACCCTCCGGCGGGAGCGCTGCCGCGCTTCCCAAGCGGCGCACTATCCAGTGCGCCACCGGGCCGGCCCAGAAACATGTTCTTTTTAACAGTGTTTTTATTTATTAATTTTTTTCTTATTTTCTTCCTTTTATTACTGTTTTCAATTCAGAATTGCCATGTATTTACATTGTTTAGTACGTAAGTTGTGGGTTATTTCATTACAGCATATAGTGCAGAGAATTAGCATTTATTTGTGCACATTTATATATGCTGTAAATACAAGGGTACTTCAAAAACTTTGTGAAAAAATAGAATTAACAAATAGTACAAATCTTTTCGTGAAGTTTTTGAAGACCCCTCATAGGTATAATATAATGGTTTTTTATCTTTTTTTTTTTTTTATTAATGTCTGGCTGGTATGGGGATCTGAACCCTTGACCTTGGTGTCATAACACCATGCTCTAATCAACTAAGCTAACCAACCAGACTTTTCTCTTCAATTATGTGACAGCAATTTGTTTTCTGGTAATTGTTATGTATTTTGCAGTCTCGGTGTATAAATACTCCTTTCAGCCATAACGTGTTTGTGCAATGTAAGTATTTGCTCATAGGTTGTTTGAACTATACTTCCCTCAAATTAATTTGAATTACATGTAATCACCTTTTATTTATTAAAAACGTTTTTCTTTTGTGTTCCAAAAAATTGCAGATTATGGTTGGGAAGTTTTATAACTGTGTTCAATATGAGTATAATTTTTGTATAATATTATGTATTTCAACATGAAATATTTATTTACCCTCTGTAATTAATCAAAAACCTATGGTTCTTTATATCTTTTAGATATCTCTCCTAAATGTGTGACCAAGGAATTACCACCAAAAGGGGAAAGTAATACAGGAGAACTATTTCACACAGTGCTGTTTGAAAGACATGAAAGCCATGACATCAAAGATTTTTGCTTCAGGGAAACCCAGAAAAATATACAAGAGTTTGAGTGTCAGTGGAGAGATGATGAAAGAAAATATAATGGAGTGCCTGTGACAAAAAAAGAAAATCTTACTGGTAGAAGACATCAACATGATAGGAGGGATGCAAGAAACAAGCCCATTAAAAATCAGCTTGGCTTAAGCTTCCAATCATGTTCACCTGAGCTGCAGCTATTTCATGATGAAGGGAAAACTTATGAATGTAATGAAGTTCAGAACTCTATCAACAATGGTTTCTCAGTTTCACCACCCCAAAGAATTCCTTCTAATATCAAAACCCATATTTCTAATAAATATGGTACTGATGTCATCTGTTCTTCATTACTCAACCAGAAGAAAGTACGCAATAGGGGAAAACTTTACAAACGTGATGAGTGTGCCATGGCCTTCAGTCACAACTCACAACTCACTTTATATCAGATAATCCATTCCAGAGAGAAACAATATAAATGTGATATATGTGGCAAGGACTTTAGCCAAAAATCAAATCTTGTACATCATCGGAGAGTTCATACTGGAGAGAAACCATTCAAATGTAATGAATGTCACAAGGTTTTCAGTCGCAATTCACACCTTGCAAATCATCGCAGAATTCATACTGGGGAGAAGCCTTACAAATGTGGTGAATGTGACAAGGTCTTCAGTCGTAATTCATGCCTTGCACTTCATCGGAGAATTCATACTGGAGAAAAGCCTTACAGATGTAATGAATGTGGTAAAGCCTTTAGTGTGCACTCAACACTTAGTAGCCATCAGATAATCCATACTGGAGAGAAACCTTATAAATGTAATGAATGTGGGAAAGCCTTCAGTGATCGTTCAACACTCTCTAAACATCAAGTAACCCATACTGGAGAAAAATCTTATAAATGTAATGAATGTGGCAAGGTTTTCAGTCAAACTTCAAGCCTGGCAATTCATCGAAGAATTCATACTGGAGAGAAACCTTATAACTGTAATGAATGTGGAAAAGTCTTCAGTCAGACTTCAAGCCTTGCAAGTCATCAGAGAATTCATACTGGAGAGAAACCTTACAAGTGTAGTGAGTGTGGCAAAGCCTTTAGTGTGCATTCAAGCCTAACTACCCATCAGATAATCCATACTGGAGAAAAGCCTTACAAATGTGATGAGTGTGGCAAAGTCTTTAGTCAAAATTCACACCTTGCAAGTCATCGAGGAATTCATACTGGAGAAAAACCTTACAAATGTAATGAATGTGGCAAGGTCTTCAGTTATAAATCACACCTTGCAAGTCATAAGAGAATTCATACTGGAGAGAAACCTTACAAGTGTAATGAGTGTGGCAAAGCCTTTAGTGTGCGTTCAAACCTAACTACCCATCAGGTAATCCACACAGGAGAGAAACCTTACAAATGTAATGAATGTGGCAAATTATTTAGTATGCGGCCAAACCTCACTAGACATCAGATAATCCATACAGGAGAGAAACCTTACAAATGTAATGAATGTGGCAAAGTCTTCAGTCAAAGTTCAAACCTTGCAATTCATCAAAAAATTCATACTAAAGAGAAACCTTACAAATGTAATAAGTGTGGAAAGGTCTTCTGTCACAATTCACTCCTCACAGAACATTGGAGAATTCATTCTTGAAAGAATCCTCATAAGGGCTATGAGTATGGCAACCCCTTCATCCTGAGTTTAAGGATTAATTAATCGAGATTAAAGAGTCCATACTAAAGAGGAATCATATAACTGTAATTTATGTGGCAGTCTTCATCCACATTTCACAACTCACTAGACATCAAAATATACATTTTTGATGAAACCATACATAGTGTGCATGCTGAGGCTGTTACCCAGGGATCAAAATTGTGGAATATCAGAGGATTTACACAAGGGATAACTCAGTCTCTAGTTCTCCAACATTAACCTCTGATATTACATACTTCAGAACAATTGCAAATCAAAATAAGTTAAAATTCATGATATGATACATATCAAAGGTACCAGGATATTTGGAAATGTCCTATTACCTTCAGGTTGTAAAATACTATTTTCAATTATTTGAGATTTCTTGAATATTTATGGCTTTTAACTGGAACTTTGAAATTTGTTGATATTAGGCATCTTTATAGGCCTTTTATGGTAGTCCCTGAGCAATAGTTGGCTGAAAGGCCCTATTTTATTAGGTGAACATCATTTCTGTTGAAGATCCTTGAAGGAGAAGGACTCTGCCTTTTAAGATTAAATACTGTCTGAATTAGAGAGCATGGAGGAGGCATAGAGAATATTGTAAAGCTGTGGTGTAAGTCATCATGTACGTTTTTCTCACAGAAGGGCACTCACTATGGGTTAAAGGAAAGAAAAGCTCTACAAACAATGTGAAATAGAGCAGGCCAAGACCTTAGGAGATGGATTCTTATGGGAAGAGACTAATATGTTATTAGGAACTGATTATGTGATAGAAATAATGCAGGGAAAATGGGGACCTCTTTCTCCATTGAATGGCAATAGCTGTTACACACTAAAGAGTGATGAAAAATTAGTTTTACTATTGAAATTAAAGACAGAAATTATCAGGGTGGAAAGTTTAATCAAAAGAACTGGAATAGTGTGTTCTTGAATAGGATTCACATTTAACTGCTCTTGTTATATTTTGCTACTGTTTTATTGAGAATGTATTAATAGATCTCATGTTTTAATAATAAAATTTAATTATTTTTCAAAAGTATGAATGAATATGTTCTTTCTACCAACATAGTTTTATTCATCTTAGCAGGATGCTTGATACCAAACAATAACAGTGTGCCATTAGGGTCTTAAGGCTGAAGGGTCTAGAACAATTTTGTTCCTGATGGAATCAACACAATTTTTGGAACATATGCTTTGCACTTGAGTTATTCTTTGCTCACTTCCCTAAGATACTTACGTGGGCATTATGAAAATCCAATAGCAGTGCAACTTCAGACTCTTACATTCTAAAAGCTGCATCACTGTTGATGAATATGCACTATATTTCTACGTGCCTCTTTTTTGTGTGCCAAATAAAACCCATGGCACGTGTCTAGATTCATATAAAGGGAAAATACACATATAGTAACAAAGTAAAAAATGTAAAATTAAAGGAAATTTGGGGAATAAAAGAAATAACATGTCTTTTTTGTCCTTGGACTGCTCAGTGACATAACTCAAAAAGATTAGTGTTGATGAATTTCCTCTTGAGAATGAACATACAGAATGGGAAGTTTGATTTGTTTTGGTAGGTATACTAGAAACATCATATATTCACCCGCATAACATTTTTGGTTATCTGAACTTGTGACCACTCCACAGGAACTGCACTGAACTCCAACTAAAGTTCAGTTTGGATACTGAGAATGATGATGTTCTACACTGAAGAATTATGAAAACTTTTGTTGTATAATGAGGATTTCTGAGAAAAGCAGGGTACACTTCCAAACTGATCTATACATGGCTTGAGAAATCAGAATAGGTGACTGCTTGAGGTGTTATGGTTGACGACTACTGGGACTTTGGGCTAGAGAATTAAAATGGTATTAACAGGATTATGTTAACTAGGGAATGCAAGGAGGAGATACAAGTCCCCTAGGACTGACTCCAGAATTGTATGAAGAGCTGCTGGATTCTATTGTAATTGGACAGTGCCCTATAAACAGCTTTCAACTGACTGACAAAGTGCAGCTTGGTTTATGGATGGTGGTTCAAGGTGAATAAACCACATCTATTTGGAAGGATGCCACTCTGATCAAAGAAGGTAAAAACAAGTCAGCTTGGTTAGCTGAATTGTGTTCTGTTTTTGTACCAGTTATGGAAGAATTGAACAGTGGTATGAGCCCCTGTGTTTGGTGTTTTTCTGACTCATGGGCAGTGGCCAAAGGCCTGGTGATGCAGTCAGGCAGGAGGGCAATGGAAACATGGCCTGTTAAAGGGTTGCTTGCACAGCCCTATGGAAATTTAATGGGCACACTAAAGTAGAACATGTTGATGTCTCAGAAGAACTACCTTCCAGGTTCAAAAGATGATTGGAATTGACAAGTAGACACTCCCATGTGCTTACTTAAGGTGGCCACCTGTGTCCATGAAATGAGTAGACATAGGGGTCAGCAGCAATGCAGAGATGGGCTAAATCTATGTACCTCTTTCATCCTGAGGCACAAAATGCATGTCAGAACTGTTCTATCTGCCAGCAAAAGAGACAGAGACTACATGTGGCTATGTGGCAGATTCCCTAGTGGGAAGACCCAGAACAGATGGCAAGTGAGACTGATGTTGGTAGTTATGGCAGGGGTTGGTCTACAAATGGGACTCAACAGGAATAGACACTAATTTCAGACTAGGCTTTGCTTACCAGGTGGTAGTTGCAAATGCTCAGAGTGCTGTAGAAAAACCAGAACAGAAGGTATTGCACAGATTTGGAGGGCAGACCATTATTTCTTCAGACCAAGAAACACACTTTATGGTCCATAATGTCCAACAATAGGCAGGTATCCTCTGAATAATAGTTTGATGGAGAATTGGAGTGGGCAAATAGAATATTAGCTGTCTAAAATGGGGAGATGAAAGCATGAAGGGTTGGCTTACATGCTTTCATGAGTCTGTAGTTACAGTCAAGTTGAGTGGGACTAATAGAGTGTCCCCACAAGATTTTCCTCTTGTTTTTCTGGTGGATCTTGGGAAGTGGTAGAGGAGGAGGATGCTGGTATGACTATGCAGTTCTTGCCATGGGAGCAGTATGCTGGTATATGGTGTATACTTTTTTTTTCTCTTTGTTCCCTATATCACCTCAGCTTTTTTTTTTTTTCCTCCTTCCTGATGCAGTGCTCCTAGGACCATGTCTTCTAACTACAAGCACCGGAAGCAGGGATGATTCCCAAACACAAAACTATAACTGTATTTAAACCCCATGTCAGAATTCCTGTGGGCCTGATGAGGGCGGGTCATGCCTTCACTCTCAACCAGGAAAGTTGGGGTTAACAGTCAATACTGTGGTGGGAAAAATAGCCCACTATTTCTGCAGCTATGTAACCTTATCATATACAAATAGGAGTAGACCAAGGGAAAGGTTCTTTCTAGACTAGTATTGCTGCCTGCACAGTGGCAGATCCTAATGTCCCTTATAAAGGAGGAAAAGTTTGGATTGTATGGAGAGAAAGGGAAATAGTAGGTGAGGGTAAAAAAATGAATACATGGAGAAAAAAAAAAAAAGAAAAAAAAAAAATGGGCCGGCCCGGTGGTGCACTGGAGAGTGCGCCGCTTGGGAGCGCGGCGGCGCTCCCACCAAGGGTTCGGATCCCTTGTGGAGACCGGTTCCCGCTCACTGGCTGAGCGCGGTGCAGACGCAACACCGAGGGTTGTGATCCCATTGCCGGTCCCCAGTACGGGCGCGACACCGAGGGTTGCGATCCCGTTACCGGTCAGTAAAAAAAAAAAGACAAAAAGGAAAAAAAAAAAATGAATACATGTGTTGAATAAGGGAAATTCAATATTGTACTAATACCTCAAGAGATGGCTAAGCACTCCACTCAAGGGATTAGAAAGCAAACTTTTATAGGATGTTCATGGAAGCAAGACAAAGAAAATATATTTGATTGGTTAGTTAGAGGTTAGTTGGTAGTTTCTGATTTGTTAAGCCTAAGGTTCCTTTTACTGTTCTCATTGGGCTTGATTTGCTTATGTAGCAATCACGGAGCTGTCTCAGCCTAATGGTGTCACAGTTAAAACTTTTTTAATACTTTGTGCTTTTTATATTACATGCTAGTTTATATGTTATATAATGTATATTATTTCTTAATTTTTTTATAATGGTATGATACACATAACTTAAAACTTAACCATTATTACATTTAAACATTCAAAATGTTGTGCAACCATCACCCTTATCTAGTTACAGAACATTTTCATCAACCCAAAGTGAAAGTCTGTACGAGCTCTTTATTCCCCTCTTCCCTCAACTACTGGCAATCACTAATCTGCTTTTTGTTTTTATATTTTGAATATTTTGCATAAATGGTACTGTACAATGTGTGACCTTTTGTGTCTATATCATTTTTCATTCTATTTAAATTCATGCTCTTGTAAACTTCAGCCTCACCTTTCATTGTAAGTTGTAACTGATAATAGTTTGTAAACATGTTTATAACTGTCAACTACCTGAACTTTCTTTTCTGTTTACAGTATTGTTATACATTTCTATTTTTTTTATCAGTGTTATCAGAAATTTAATGAAAATATCTACAGTTATACATTTTCCCTTTTGCTTGGAATTAGTTTCTCACTGCTTGCTTTTCTTTGTTGTCTTGGCTATTCCCTTCAAGGTGATGTTGTATATAGAGATTTGAGACTTCTTAGAACCTTACTGGGTGTTTCTCTCATGCTGCTCAAACTACAAGGGCTTTACCCTATTATTTTCATAAAGATACATCAATTCCTAATTTACTGTTTATTTATTTATTTATTTATTATTCCTTTTTGTCTTTTTTTACTGACCGGTAACGGGATCGCAACCCTCGGTGTCGCGCCCGCACCGCGCTCAGCCAGTGAGCGGGAACCGGTCTCCACATGGGATCCGAACCCTCGGCGGGAGCGCTACCGCTCTCCCAAGTGGCACACTCTCCAGTGCGCCACCGGGCCGGCCCCTAATTTACTGTTTAAATGTAACATTAATCCCTGTCGAATTCTACCAATAGTGTTGTTTTGTACTTATGAATATGAATACCCTATTTTTCTCTTTATCTATATATCTAAGATGAATTGCATTAGTGGATTTCCTAATAATCGTAACTGCATTCCTGGTATGAATTTCATCTGTTCATCATGTATTATTTTTAATTAGCAATTGCAAACTTTGATGTTATTTACATAAGATTTTCCTATGTATATGCAGATAGGAGGATTTTCTAAAATACTTTATCTGCAGTAATTTTTAGAAGACCTTGGTATCAATAGTGTCCTCAAATACTAAAAGTTATTTTGAACTTTTTCTATTTTTTTAATGATCCTTAAATATTTTAAGTAGGATAGATTTAAATATATTTAAAAGATTATAAGAACTCTGCTAAAGAGTTTTACCATGTTTCATCTTATTGTCTGTTTAGATTGTCTGCCTCTTCACTATTATCAATATTGGCAGAGTAGGACTGTGTCAAGATGGTGGAATAGACGGTCCGCAGCATCACTCCCATAAATCAACCAAATTTACAACTATAAAAATGTAACATCAGCCAAGCTGGGGCAGCTGGAGCTCAGGGGAAGAAGAGGAGAGACGTACGGAGTTCATGAAGGTGGGAGAAACTACGATGAGAGAAAGAAAAAGCTGCTCTGAGCATTTCGGGCCGTGGCTGCTTTAAGGCTGGAGCTGATGAGCGCATGGAGCAGGAGCAGGCAGAAGCTGTAGCTGTGCCCTTCACGGGGAGTTACTTGAAGGCAGCGGGGGAAAGAAGGCCTTGGCGGCCCCCAGGACATCAAGACCACTAATAGGGTTCCTGTGGACCCACGCAGGAGCGAGGAGCCAGAACAGCTGAAAAACGGGAGCCACTCAGAGGCCGGTGAGTCATCGCAAGGGACCAGGGCAGGGCCCATCCCGTGTGAAATGTTTTGAGCACAGGTGGTGGGGGAGATGAGCCCACCGGAGAAACACTGGGACACAGCAAGGACAGCTGATCTGCCTCCCAGTCAGTGCAGGACCAGTCGAAGGAGACTGGTTGGGAA